CTTTCCCCAGATTCTGGACCGATACATGGCATGTAATCATTGTTTAGTAAATATTTGCTAATAGATGGAGGAAAGGAAAAAGAAAGGATGGAGGGAAGGAACAAAGGGGGGATGAGAGAGAGAAAGGATTCTAGCTACACCTGCTCAGAAACATTCTCATCGAATAGAACTCGCATCAACAGGATAGCATCTAAGCAGGTCCTGAAAGCCCTCATAAACAGTTCTCTCAAAATATGAGCAGGCTTACTCTAATTTCACTGAAGTCCCTCCCACAAACCTTATCTATTGTTTCATGGGAAGTTTCCGAAGAGCAGCTGACAATTACAGAGGAATAAATTCAGCCCTGATTCACACGTTCCTCTGTACAATTTGTTGGCACCAACCACAAGTGGACAGCTGCAAAGGAGCTGCCCTGAAGAACAGCGTGCTAAATTGCAAGCCGCGCATCGTTCTTGTCCGCCCCTGAAAAGAGGCATGACGTGAAGTAAGTTTCTCTACTGATGAATGGAAGGTGGTGAATGGTGAGAACCTAGGAAGAAGTCTGATGAAAGGATTGGTGAAAAAGAAGCCCGTCTAAGAATTATGTGGATGAACTTCTTGAAGTTGAAGTTCAAGAACCTGCCAGAGTGGAAGACGTTTGTGTCCCATGTGATTGCTCCTCCAAAGCCCCCTCTGTGACCATACAAACCAGCTCTCTCTGCCAACATCAGCCAGCCTCTGTTTCCACACACTCCTCATTAATCCAGGAGAGGGTAACTAAAAAGCATTGGTGGCTACTTCCCTCGCTAAAATTAACTGGGCCTCTACTACCACTAATATGCCAGCAGCAAAAAATATCATTACATTATAGGAAAATATTTGAATAATCTTTGGTTAAGAACGTTTTTTGAAATAATATAGAAAGGCTAATCGTCATAAAGAAAAAGACATTTGTCTTCATCTCTTTAAAATAGATTGTATTGCAAAATATATATCTAAAAAGTAAAAACGCACACACACAGGACAGACAAAGGGTTAATATCCTTGATATAAAAAGGGTTCTTATAAATTAATGTTAAAAGAAGACCAGCAGTCAAAAAGAAAAACGGATAATGGATAGAATAAGTTGTTGAGAGAAGAGGAAATTCAAATGAGAAGCAATATGAAAAAGATGCTCAACTTCACCACTAGGGAGAACAATGCAGATTATTACAAAAAGATCCTGTTTTGACTTTTTTTTTACTAGTAAAACCCCTCAAAATGAAGTGTTAAGAGTCAGTGCAGGTGAAGTGTGAGAGGGGGAAACAGTCTGAACCTGTTTCTGAGAGTGTGTGCTAAGTCCTCTGTGGAAATGAAACTGGACATCTTCAGCAAAATTTAAACAACACATGCTATTGATCCGTCAATCCCACTTGAAGAAATCTATCTTGAAGAGAGCGAAGCCAAGGCACCTAAGGCTATCATCCAGCGATGTTTACGGCACCGCTATTTCTAGTGGCACTTAAAGTGCAGGAAAGCCTCAATGTCCATCATTAAGCAAATGATTGAATAATTTACAGCACACCTTACTGTGGGATATTCTCAATTACTTTTCAAAAGCATTGACCTTTTTCTACTGATATGCAAAGTATGTCCTATATTTTATAATTTTTTAAATGTAAGTCATAATGTACAGGAATAGTATTTCCTCTGATATACAGTGGCTGTATACATTTGTATGAATATACAGAAAGGGGTGGCAGAGTATACAATAAACTATTGAAGTATATCAAAGGAATGTGGATGTATGTTAGGTGTAAAAGAGAGAGCTACACAGAGAAAAACTTTTCAGAATGTTTTCTATTGTGTCACTTAATTCCCTGTAACTTTTGAAAAATCTACTAAAGAGTTTTTAAAGAAAAAACATTGCCATTCAAAGTGTTCAATGCTCCTCTGTGTTGCTTTATTTCTACTTTTACATAATTGACTCATTAATGTTTATTGAGCAAAAGTACACAGAGAAAATCAGTCATTCTAGAACAATTGCCTTCTAAGAGAAGACTTTAAATAATGCCACAAATTGTTCAGGAAAAGCTCTTATTTTTTTCTACTATGATTTAGCTGTTAATTATTTGGGCATGTGTTTTAAACCTATGACTGATGATGCCCTTGAGGTTTTTTTTTCAGCTTGGGAGACATTTGTTTTAAATTTTTACAATTTAACAAAAATACACTTGATCCATAGGAGAAACTACCCTGGCTGGAATACCTCTTACTACATTAAGGTCACATATCATATGACTATTTAAATTAGAACCAGAAACTTATGTCTTCCTGTTTCTGGAAAGTCTTTCAAATGTTATCTCAGGATAAATAAACTCTTATAAAAACTCAAGATAGATTATAAGCTGGTTTTTCATCCCAGAAACATACATGTATGTGCTAGATATTGATTTTTGTTTTAAAATGCTTAGTGAAAAGAGTGTTGTTCTCTTCTATGAAGGCAACAATGTATTTCTGTTGATCTAAACAGTAAATTTACATCACATTAACTCATGATTTCTAAATGTTCAATGGGTAATTCTATACTATATTTATATGCTTAACTAAAATATTTACATATATGTATACATATATATACATATATTAGAGATTGCTTCAAAAGCTTTTTTTAAGTTTCTTAAGGAAAACTTGTTTTAGAACAAAATTCACTTATAAAAATTCAACTACAATACAGAAAACTGTTAGGAAAAACAATGACTTCAAATAGCTGTGAATAAATAGCGTGTAGTTAACAGGTCTTCCTTCTTTCCTTCTTTTTGTTATCCAACTAAAATAGCCCCCTTCTCTGAAAATGAGAAAGGATCATTTTAGTAATTAAAATGTTTTTATTTGATTACAAATGTTTATGGATTTAATCTCAAATTCTCTGTGAAAAGCTTTCATGGACTTACAGCATTCTCCATTATAATGATATTTGATATATTAAATATCCTCCACTTAAATGACATCTATTATTTACATATTACAAATTACTAGTAACATGTGACTTGTTTAATGTAAATTACAAGAAATCTGAAAAAAAATACTACAGTAAGATTCTTACTTTATATACAGTGTTTCGCAAGACAAATGAAGAGGAAAGGAAGAGAAATTTATAGACGGACATAAGCTCCAAAGCCTCACACCTACTGGCGGACTTTATTCACATTTCTCTCCTTGGCTGTCTAGGTTCTATTATAAGCCCCTAGGGCAGGGGCTGTGTCTGCTCACTGTCAGCACTCAACAAATAATAAATAGCACTATTAACAGCAGTACATGTGGGTAGAATTTGGATGGTTATTATTTTTTTTTAAGAGCACTGTTCAACAGAACACTAATTGGATTGTCAGTCAAGATTTTCTTGATCTTGTCTTAGGTGCATTATGCTACGGAGAAATGCTTAAACTGATCATTTTTACTTTTAAAAATACAGCTTAATGAAAAAGCAATTTAGTAAATTGCCAGGGGCTGTTTTACATCATACACAGTGTTGTGTTTCCCCAGAACAATTCAATTCAATGGAATTCCCTGGGAAGTTTAGTCTAAGTTGAAATAAAAAATTGTTGCTGCCTGAAAGATTGCATGCTTGCCTGATATGCAGAAATTTCTAGAATACGTAGCATTCTTTCAGACACAAAGCCCTTTTCCATCTTTACACCTGAATCAATCCCTCGAAAATGAATGACTTTATGCAGAATTCAGCTGTTTTTATTAAATTTGATGAAATCAGTTTACAGATACAGCGACATACACACATACATACTTAAACACAGTTGAGTCGGTAAAATAGCTTTCTATTGGATTTGCTTGTTTTTATTCGTTTTATTACTCAAAAAATCCAAAAGAAATACTGCTAAGTTTAAAATACTTACTAGGTCAAATCAGTCTGCGTTCTTGACGCAGAAGTATAAAATAAGGAGCTAAATAACAATTAAATTTTGTTTTCAGAGCTCTGAAAATTAAGTATATAGAAATGTCATCATTGCTGTTACTGTGTTTTTTACTTCTAGTATTTCCTTATGATTTGACTCTTTCCTATAGTTTCCTGCTCTATGCTAAAATTGCCCATCTGTTCTTGCATGTTGTCTAACTTTTCTATTAGAGCCTTTAACATATTACAGTAAACCCTCAATTTTGTGGATCTCGATTTATCGGACTTTGGATTTAATGGACAAAATTTCTGATCTGTATATCATAAGTGAAAATTAACACACTGTGAACTTTAAAATACTTTTAACTAAGATTTGCTTATAATTAAATTAACAAGTTATGTTTTTGTTATTAATTCACTGTTATTTTTAACAGATTTTAGTGAATAGGCCATATGTTGGGGAAAAAACTGTAGTAATTTTGCCAACATAAAAAACATTACATATCTGCAACTACAGTATAAATCCGAATCACCCTGGGTAATTGGATCTGTTGGCTAACTTTCTGCAGCAGTTTTAACGCCCATGTTCTCACATGCGCCGAGCCACTCCCCAGCCGTGTGCATTTGTTTACTCGCAGTGACTGGTGAATGCACCCATTCGGTAGACATTTAAAATTACAGTAATACATATAGAAAACTTTTCTGTGAAATTAAACTTTTCATGCCTACTTAATTTTAATTACACAAATGTGTTTACATAAGTAAAAACAGATACACTAACTAATTTGCCAATTTTTAACATATGCATTCAGAAAACCTCCTTTATTATAGAACAGACTTTTGGCTTTAACAGACACCCCCTCGCCTGAATTAGTCCATTATATTGAGGTTTTACTGTATTAATAGTTATTTTGTTTATTCATTTATTTTTTAGTTTAAAGAGGGAATTTATTAGAAAAATACAAAAGGTTCTTGCAGGGATTCCCACAGCTGTAACGAGTTAATCGCTAGAATCACGCCTTTCTGAAGGGCAGATCATGTTGTGATCATAAACTTCTATTTCTGGGTTTTGCAAGATCAGGAAGAGAATATCCCGGAGGATGTTCCTCCCTGTGTCGTGCACAAGGGACTAGAATGTGGATTCATTTCTGCTTGCTTTTTGGTCCTTATATTCCTTTATGCTGTCCTCGAACTTGTCAAGCACATGTTGGCAGACACTCATGAGCTCATTCAGGCCTCTCTGAAATGGCTCAACAGCTGGAAGAGCACCGCGAGTCTGAATTCGTAAATTAATTTTACTCTCTGAAGGATGGGTTGTAGTGTAACCACAAAATTCCACTTCTGGGTTCTTCATGATCATGTAGCGAAGAGCATTTCCTAGGGTCTGGTCCTCCTGGTGCAAAACAAGTGTCACGCAGTGTCTACCTGTTCCCGCTGCCTGGACCATTCCCAGAGCTGCCTTCCCCTCGCCGTCAGCCACTGAGGTCTTCAATCCAGACAGTTTTCTCTCCTGCTCGTGGCCCTCTTCCCTCGCCGGACGGCTTCCGGGATGTTCAGGTGGAGCTGGAGGAAGGTACTCTCCGCCTCATGTTGTGAAACATGCGAGAGAAGCAGGAAGGCTTAATAGTTATTTTAAATTCCCTGCCAGTTCCAGCATTTGGGTTGTATCTGAGGCTGGTTCTGGTGATGACTTTCCATCTTCAGACTGTATCTATTCCTCATTTTTCAAACGCCTTATCATTGTTGCTAGAAGTCAGACAGGTAAGATTCTGAAGCAAGTTTACCTTAGAGATGAGCATACCTTTTATGCTTCTACACCCTTAGTGTCTGTGTATGTGTGTATGTGTGTGTGTGTGTGGGGAGGGTTAATCTAGTCAAATGTCAGGCTGGGTTTAAAGTTTGGTGTTGCTATGGTTACCTTCCCTGTCCCAGAGGCTTCATATTTCTACAGTGACTGTAGGAGTTTGGGTGAGGGCCAGTTTACCAGAGAGGCTTCCCCACGTCCAAGGCGCAGGGGAGGAGCTGTCTCCCGGAGCAATCCCTGCTGTACTCCGGTTGTTTTCACTCAGGGTTTCTTACCCTTGTGGTGGGAAGCAAGGGACATTCTCTGACGTTCTGAGTGAGCCTCAATCTTAGCAGCCTCTATGAACTTGTGGAATGTGTCCCTCTTCTAGCTGTAGTGTTGGGGGCGGGGGGGGGGGCCTAACAAGTATTGCAGCTCGCTCCCAGGTACAGCTCTTCTTTTTCCTTTTTTCTTTTCTCCCAGTAGAAACAGTGACAACTGTTCATGCTCTTTCCCTTGCAAAGTAAGCTTTTTGTTCTATGAGAAAGATAGGGGAGAGGGGACAGGTGGGATTTCTGGCACCGGTTATTGTTTCTCTCTCCCAGCTGACATTACCAGGGAAAGTTCTCAGCGGTTCCCTCAGTCTTTCCCTTGACCCCCTCCTGGAGTTCAGGGAGTAAAAGCTGCAGCCCCCCCGGAGCGACACACTCTGACAATGGCCTAGGCTTGGCCTTTCGTCATTCTTACAAGATGACGTGCCATCTGATGGTATATGCCCCAGGTAAGCAAATACTTTCTCTGCTATAAAGGTGGCCCCTTGGTCTGATGCACTGTACTGTGGGGCCCCATGCCAGTGGATCCATCACGCTGTCAAACTTCAAAAGGTAGTGCTCGCTGAGACCCTAGGTGTAGGAAAGACAAACCCCAGCTCTGAATATTATCCATTATTTGGGGAACAATTTGCTGGCCTGTCCAGAGTGAAAGGGGTACAATATAGTCACCATGGCACTAACTAGCCAGTTGGTCTCCTCAAAGAATGGCACCAAAATGGGGGCTCAGTGTCAGTCTTTACCGTTGGTTGGTGGGACCTTTGACGTTGGCTTCCGGTAGATCAGCAAGTAGGAGCAAATGCTATTGGGCACATAGATAGCCTCCACCTCTGCCATCAAGGCCACTTTATTCGTGGGTCCATTGTAGCAGCACTAGAGTGGCTGGCGAATCGAATGCCCTTGGCTAAGTCCTTTTTAATTCTTGCCTCTTCTATGAGGGATGTTCTTTTGTGGGCATTACCATATGATGCAACAATATTCACACCCTACACCCACTCTCATACTAGTATGTCCATTCATAAACTTCTACCTCATATCTCCTTGTACTCCTTTTCAATTTTTTTCCTTTCTTTTCTTTCTAGACCCCTGTCAACCATCCAAAGAAAATGATATTTATAAAATGAAGTATTGTCCACTCCTTTTTATTTTATTTTATTTTTTTTTGTTAATCCTCACTCAAGGATATTTTCCATTGGTTTTTAGAGAGAGTAGAAGGGAAGGGGAGAGACAGAGAGAGAGAAACATCCATGTGAGAGAGACACATCAACTGGTTACCTCCTGCCCTCCTGCACATGCCCAGACCAGGGCCAGGGAGCAAGCCTGCAACCGAGGTATGTGCCCTTGACTGGAACTGAACTTGCCACCCTTCAGGCCAAGGTCCAATGCTCTATCCATTGAGCCAAACCAGTTAGGGCAGTCCATTTCTTTTAATGTTTAAGATTACTATGCTACTAAGTACTTACGTTTATTAAACATGAATTCTGCTAATGCCTAACAAGCTCTTTGCTTACTATTTATTTATACTCAAAATTTGAATGTTTTCATCTCTGTTTCACAAACTATAGACCTATTCACATTTCCTAATAGAATTCAATATTCTGAAAGGTAAATGTACATTACACTGAGCCTCAGAATTTCCTTTTGTTTTAGTTGACATGACAGTGTTGTAAGGGTGCCATCTCTCCAGTTAAACATGATTACATTATAGCTGGCCTGTAACTCAAGAGCAGTCAATCGATAGCCTGGAAAAAGCCACACAAGAATTAGAAACTTCCTTTCTCTTAATAATCTGAACTGTAAATAAATAGTCAGAGGCTATTTGTTTGGTAGTAGAATCAGAAAGTGAAAGAGAGAAAAAAGAGACCAATAAGTAGCAATGGCAGGAAGAGTAAATAGAATCCATGTGTAAACACAAGTCCAAAAGCCCTTTATAGGAAAGAGTGCATTATTGGTTTGGCAGGAAAAACAACCTACGATGAAGACATATACAGTGAAGAGACAGAAAACATAGCTGATAAATATTAACAGAATGGAGGTTGGTAGGCTTACAATTCTTAGGAAACAGTTGGTAAGGCTACTTAGGGTGTTGAAAAACTGGCCAGTTCCTAAATTTTCTGAGATCTGACTATTCTGATTCTGGTAATTTTAATGATATCTAGTTGGGGAGCTTTTTAGATATTCACATGAGATAGAGCCCAGTGATTAAGATTCCTGTTGGCTTGTTTTGTGTGTTCACTATAATGAAATGGACTTAATTTTTTCAAGATGTACCTATATAATGACCTGAATATTTCCTAGGTATGAATTCTCTCAACTTTATGTTGGCTATAAAGTATTACTACAAAACATCAAGTAATTCCCATAAAAATTTTTAAAAGGCATCAAGCGATAATATTTGGCATATAGACTTTATATTTTCTTCAAGGTTAATGTATACATCATGATGAATAAAGCTACTGCCGTACTTTCTTACATTCTTCAATGCATCTAGCATATGGTGGTAATTTTAGGAAACTGGCTTAAGTGACTAAGACAAAGCTTGGTAAAGAATTGGTTTTGGAAAGGATCAGCAAATAAACGGCAAGTGTGCCATCACTCCCTTCTCTTAAATCAATTGTTGATAGTATTAGTTAATCAGAGTTTTGTTTCTCCCTAAATCCCGACGAATTCATAGTTATAAATATTCATGGCATTATATTTCAGGTCTCACTACCAACATATGTAAGCCAGCACTCACAATTAAGCCTATTTGCCATCCGTGTGCTATTTCCTCCTTTGGACTCTTGCCTTTAGTGCTGGCCGTTTTCTCCGAGTGATTAATGTAACCTCATTAAGTTAATGAATCAGGCACTTTAGCATTTCTTCAGGGACAGAGGAACTAAAATTATTGGCTATGTGCTACTCCATACACTAATACATTGTTTAAATTTATTAAAGTTGCTTATAAAAACTAAGCATGATTTAGAAAACCTCAATCTCTAAACAATTACCAGCCCTTGGGCATCATTAAGAAAGGGAATCAAGAAAGCTTAAAAGGCCCTCGCTGGTTTGGCTCAGGGGATAGAGCATCGACCTGCGGACTGAAGGGTCTCAGGTTTGATTCCCGTCAAGGGCACATGCACGGGCTGCGGGCTCGATCCCCAGTGGGGGGCGTGCAGGAGGCAGCCAATCAATGATTCTCTTTCATCATTGATGTTTCTATCTCCCTCTCCTTCTCCCTTCCTCTCTGAAATCAATAAAAATACAGTTTAAAAAAGAAGAATATAGATAACAATATCAAAATTAAAAACTTCTAAAGGCCCAAATCACCTTAAAAAATAGAACAATAAACACTGGGGGAAAATATCTGCAATACACACAATATATCAAAATGATGAGTATCACTAATAAATGAAATATTCCTATACACAAATAAGCAAGTCCCCTGAATGACTATTTATGAGGCATTATTTGAAGGGGCACAAAAACAAGACAATGTTCTGAAATACTTTTTTTGTCCTACCTCTACACTAGTATAACTTCATATATGTGCAAGGTGTTTCTAGCCTTAAAAGTTTCATTTTAAAGTGATAATACACTTAAGATTACTTTAATATACCTGAGTTAGAATTGATTGGAAACAAAATATGACAACTCCCACCTTTGGTGCCAGTTAGAAATGGGCCATGCTAGATAGAATGAACAGTAATTATGCAAGACCTGTATAATTTTCCATTACTCTTGAAATATTTTTCTACTGAATCGTCTAGACCAGTGATGGCGAACCTTTTGAGCTCGGCGTGTCAGCATTTTGAAAAACCCTAACTTAACTCTGGTGCCATGTCACATATAGAAATTTTTTGATATTTGCAACCATAGTAAAACAAATATTTATATTTTTGATATTTATTTTATATATTTAAATGCCATTTAACAAAGAAAAATCAACAACAAAAAAGTGAGTTCGCGTGTCATAGGTTTGCCATCAATGGTCTAGACTAAATATCCTAAGACTACATATGAGTCTAGGCAATATTGACTGCTGGCTGTTATCATCAGGTAGACACGGACTTTCACACGAATGGATAACAGAAGCACACATCCCTTGTAGTCCTGTCCTCTCCCCACCAAATTGTAACTTGGATGTGGCCAAGACCGTACATCTAATTAGAAATTTACTAGATAAATAAGGGTCAGTGGAACATGTTAAATGCACCAGGAGAATGCAATCAGCAAAATACAGACTATGAGAAACTGTACAGGATAAACAACTCTTTTGTTTCTTCAATAACAAAAACTGGGAGAGAGGGAAAGGGAGACTCTATAGACTAAAAACAAAACAAAATAATACAACTAAAATAGTTTTAAAAACATATCAAGCAATCACAGCTTATGCACCTTAGTTAGATCCTAATCTGAAAAACAACTTGTTTAAAAGTTTATTACAATTAGAGAAAGTGAACACTGATGGAATATTTGATGAGAGTAATGATTGCTAAGTATGCTAATAACATTGTATTTAAAAAAAAAAGATTCTCATCCTTTTAAATATTTACAGAAATGATAGACTATCTATGGCAAGCAAATGTACTGGTTTGCCCAGGATTGAGAGGTTTCTTGAAACTTGGAACTTCCAGTGCTAAAACCAGGACTATTCTGTACAAATGGTGATTTCTATCAAAATTACTGGGATAGGTGTTGTGAAGTTGGTGGGGCTAGAGATAAAACTGGTAGACTTTTGGAGGATGATTGTAGGAGCTGACGTATATATTTGAAAATGTTCACAATTTTTTTTAAAAAATCACACGGACCAATATTGCATTATTTGTGGGAAGATGGAATAGACTTTACTAATCAACGTTGGGAAACTTAATAAAAGTATGATATCTGGATCATTTACAGAACAGATAAAAACTGAGTGTGACATATACTCATCCAAGATAGTGCAATGATAATTTTGTCAGCCAACTTGGTACTTGTGTGTTAGACAGTGACATAGGCTTGTACTGACCTCTTGAAAGTTCATCTATAATTGTAAGGTTTCTCATGTAATAGTACTGCTAACAACCAACATTTCCTGTGAGACCTCCTGGCATAGCAGAAATATGAAAAATCATGACAACAACACAATAAATTCTGTTTTCTTATAGAACTCAGAAGGAAGTACTCACTGATTCAGAGATGTGAGTGCACAATTAATGTATGCACTTATCCCAAATTTAACATGATCTATACATCTATTAATACTTAAAGTTGATGCTTGAAGATAGATCTGACTAAAAAGAATGTGTTGAAAGTTTTCACAGGGTAAAAGAGAACTTGTGGGGTCTACTTTTTTAACACTGCATGTGTACCTTTGATGTATACAACCTTCACAGTTCAAGTGATGACATGTGTAGTTTATTTCTTGTCCTAACAATATTGAATCAACAATGTAAAAATGAAAAGTTATTTTAAAATAACTTTTATAGTCAAGTCAATGGTTCAGTGATTTGTGCAAATCACATTCCAAATAGCATATTCTAACAACAAAGTTCAAATTTCTTAATGAAGGAAATTAATTAACCTACCAGTCATATTTCATTTAAATTGTGTGATGAATATCTTCTTTGCTCTGTTTATCCCCTAGAATTAAGAAAGATTCCATTATTCTTGGCAGGTTTTAAAAAACAAATTCTAGGGAATTGATTTATGTTTTCCAATGCATTTATTTATTCATAAAACTGAGATGTGGAAGCTTGCAGAACGGGTTCTAGAAGACCACGCGAGCTGTGAAAACACGGGCTGAGCTGCACATGGCCTGAGCCACGTCTTCAAGGTATTCTTTACAGGTAAACAGTCCAGCGCCCAAACTTTGG